CCCATCTGTCCGTTTGTTGTTCGGTCGTGGCTTGAGGATGGCTGTGATGCTGGAGTCTATGCCACCAGAGCCTAGAAGGGTCACCCATGGAGGACAGATTTCAGTAGGACTTTCAGACTACGATATAATAGGAGGGAGGGTCTGGTGATCTACTTTGAAATGTAGCCGATGGAAACCTTGTGGATCACAGCAGACTCTTGTTTGATATGGTGCTAGCAGGCAAGTCCCCCTAGAATGGAAGGCACTCCATATGCTCAGTGGCCACAAGAATGGCCCAGAGCAGACAAGTGATGGCGAAGATGGCGCAGACCTGGGCAATGCTCACTCTGCGGCGTACTTGGGATTATAAATTGACTGAACGGCCATCTCCACCAGCACCATCAAAGTCTCTGTGTGTGTGTGTGTGTGTGTGTGTGTGTGTGTGTGTGTGTGTGTTCTTCCATAACAATGGTAACAACATATCCTAAAGGGCTGGACTGTTCAGGTGTTTGCAGAAGGAGCGAGAAGGAAGGATGTGAGGGAGGCTTCAGGTATGGAAAGTGGCCCCTCACTAAGCGCAACCGGGCAGCCTGGAACGGGTCTCCCCCACCACTCACAGCCTTGTCAGAAGCAGGAGGATGAGGGCACACGGAACAGAAGGTTGTCTTATGTGTTAAAAAACAACACTCGGCTCTACCTCTTTCTCTGTGGAGACACCCAGGAGGAAGGAGCAGTAGACGGTGAACTCCGAGGGAGAGAAACTAGGGAAGTTCAGGAGATGGAAGTCTTCAATAGAGTGTCAGGATCATCATAACGGTATGAGGAGGAACTCGTTGGTGAGCTGATCTGAGCCCTCAAAAGAAGGAGGGAAGAGTTGGTGTCAAGAGGGTGGTAGGAAGGCATGGGCAATGCTTGTCCACAATTAAGCAACCAGATTAACCTCCAAATCACACTGCTGCCAATGAACTTATTCTGACTCAGTGATCCTCCATAGGGTTTTCTGGACAAGCACAGCCAGCCTCAGCTGAATCTCAGAGGGACTGGTGGGTTTGAACCACCGAACTGGGTTAGCAGGTCAATGCTGATCTCACACCACCTGGGCTTGTTTTCCAATAGTGTTGTAATAATCACCTTAGACCAGCAGTTCTCAACCTGTGGGTCGTGACCCTATTAGGGGTTGAATGACCCATTCACAGGGGTCGCCCAATTCATAACAGTAGCAAAATTACATTCATGAAGTAGCAATGAAAGTAATTTTATGGTTGGGGGGTCAGCACAACATGAGGAACTGTATTAAAGGGTCGCAGCAGTAGGAAGGTTAAGAACCACTGCCTTAGACGATGTCTAAAAAGCAACTCCCAGGCTTCTCCCCAAGAACTTGAATTAGGTCTGAAGTCAGTTCAGAAGACAGGATGTTTTATAAGCCCCAGGAATGCCGACTGAGCTAGTACTCAGGCTGTTGATATCACTGAAACTATAGAAGCAGTTTTAAGGAATTTGGAGTGGCGTAGTGGTTATGTGCTGGGCTGCTAACAGCAAGATCAGCAGTTCAAAACCAACATCCACTCCACGCACGGGAGTAAAACAAGGCTTTCTATGCCCGCAGAGTTACAGTCTCAGAAAACCACGAGGGCAGATCTGCGCTGTCTTAGTAGGGTCACAATGAGTCAGAATCGACTCGTTGGCAGCGAGCTTGGTTTGGTACAGTCAATGATAAACATTGATAGGAGGCAAATGCAAACATAAGCATTCTCTGTCTTTCATTCAGGGTAACAAGGGACACACACTGGCGGTTCAGTGGTAGAATTCTTGCCTTCCATGTGGGAGGTCTGGGTTCGAGGCCTGACCATTGCACCTCATGTGCAGCTACTCTCTGTCACAAGGGGCTTGTGTGTCACTACAATGTCCGAGAGGTTTCAGAAGTTTCCAGACTTTCTGATTAGGAAGAAAGGCTTGGCTTTCCAAAAAATAAGCCGAGGAAAATGGGATCACAGTGGTCAGAACCGACCGTGCATGGAGTGGCCTTCAATTGGGAGAGCAGCCAACACCAGCAGCATTCCCCGAGAGAGAGCAGCAACTGAAATCCAGCCAATTACTACGCAGGGTTTTCTAATTCTCACGAGGAAGGCTGAAGTCTCTCTTCCTCTACTGTGGTTCCAAAGACCATAAGGTGGATCCAAGTGCTATAAAGTCCAAACAATTCTCCTTGCCAGAAGGCCACTAGTTGGCAAGATCAAGTTCAGAGGGCAGAATGAAATCTCACCAAAGAGGGACTCCGTGTGTCTAAGGGCCTTCACAAATCTGGCTGCTTGGCATGACTACAATGGTTTACATAAGATCAGACTCTATTTTGCTACCAGCGCAGCTCCTGTTTCTGCAAAGGTGACCCAGGCGGTTGAGGGGTAGGTATGGGAGGGACAGCTTCTCAGGAAGAATGCATTTGGAAGTAGACGCATATGAAATTGCCTGGGAATGTCCTCAAAGTTTTACCCAAAATTAATAATCAGAAGAACTCAATCTAGCTAGCCAAAGTTTTTATTTTTGTTAGTTCTTGATATTTAAATATCTACACCCTTACCTGACAGGTGGCACACTTTGTAACTGCCTGGTTGCTCTGTGCTACCCTGACTGGTGAATTGCTCTTAACCTCGGTAAACTTCTTTTGCTTTTACTTTAAGCAGACTCAGTGAGTTGGCTCTAGGAAGCCTCATCAGCTGACATAGTATTTTACCTGGTAGGTAATGAAAAGCAATAGAAGGTTTCAGAGCCAAGGCTGCATCTAAACAAAAGAGTAATTTAAGAAAATCCATGCTGACCTTTGGATGGAGTGGAAAGGGCCCCTGAGGCACATCCACTTGCCTCTTTGGGAGAAAGACGAAGTGGCCAGCTCCACTGGATAGTCTGACTCCGTCTCATCTGCTGGCTCTGTCATATAATTGGTACTGCCCGGATGGCAGTGGGCTTGGCTTGGGTTTGTCAGTCTCTTGGAACTGTACATTCAAATGAAATAGAACAGCAAGATAATTGTGGAGAATGCTGGGAAGCAAGAATTCGTGAGATTGGTTGGCTATGGAGAAAGGAGAAAGGAATCACCCAAGTTCAAGTTCTTTCACGGCATCTTTTCCCCCTGACCAACTGAAGGGGAGGGAACCCGTTTCCCTTGGGTCCCAGATCTAAACAGACACTTCCTCTACTCCTCTTTCCCCTTGTTCATTGCCATGTAAAGACCTCTTGAGAATATTAAAATGCAATGATGTTACTTTGAGGACTCAGGTGTGTGCCTGACCCAAGCCACGCTGTTTTCAATTGCATCATATGCGTGTGAAAATTGGACATTGAATAAAGAAGACTGAGGAAGAATTGATGCGTTTGACCTGTGGTGCTGGAGAAAACTACTGAAAGTACCATGGACTGCTAAAAGAACAATCAACTTTGTCTTGGAAGAAGTCCTGCCAGAGCACTCCTTAGAGGCAAGGAGAGAGTGCCTTCCTTCGTCTTACAAACTTCATGTTATCAGCAGAAACCAGTCCCTGGAGAAGGACTTCGTGTTTGGTAACGAGAGGGACAACGGAGAGGAAAGCTGTCAAAGAAATGGACTGACACAGTGCTGCCACTGTGGGCTCAAGCATTAGAACAATTGTGAGTATGGCGCAGGCCAAGGAAGTATTTTGTTCTGTTGCGCATAAGGTCTCCATGGATCAGAACCAATTCGATGGACCTAACAACAACAACAGCATCACTGCCATTGAGTTGATTCCAATGCACAGTTCCTGAGGCAGTAAATCTTGATGTGAACAGATAGCCTCAGCTCTCTCCCACGGAGTGGCCAGTGGCTTTGAATGGCTGACCATGAGGGGAGCAGTCTACTGCTTACTTGACAGTGACAACAGGGCTCCTTACCTTTTTCCCCTGAAGAGATAGGTATGTTCCAACTTCAAGCATTCCACAAAAATAAAGATCATTTTGGTGTACTCTTAAAAGAGGCTGGCTAACAGTGAATTTTAGAGTTCTTCTTTGTGGGGAGAAAAAAAATGAAAAAGCGGAGACAAAATATTTAATAGTCTCTATAATAAATGCAAATAAATCAATACAAACAGAACTTGGCTTTAGCAAACTGTACATACATAAATATTGTTTCCTTTTACTATAACATATTTCCCCTCCCACATAGAGCCTCTCAGGATCTTATTACATCATTTTTTCTTTATACCTATAAAAAAGTGCCTTTTAGATTTACAGCTTGTGCTTCCAAAGCAAAGGTTAGAACATCATGCCCTAAAGGAAAACAAGGTAAAAAGGAAGCTGCCATATAAGCTCTTAAAAATGGTAGGTTACACGGCTCTCCGCTCTTTCGAGCACTGGCTGGTGGGACGACTGTAGGATACTGACATGGCGCCCCCAGAGGACTTTTATTGGTTGGGTGCAGTAGCACCCGGATAAAGTTGCCCAGACGGTCTAGGGTCTAAGGAAGTCCTTGACTAAGCAGAGAAGGTGCCAGAGCCCCAGCGCCAGGTGATCATGGGAAGTCCTTCGTAACCTCATCAGTGCAAAGGCTTGGTGGTCAAGTGCTCAACTGCTTCCAAACCCTCTCAGGTGGCTCTCCTCCTGTCATGGCTCTTCTCCAAAGCCCTGGTTGCACCTGTGGGACATGGGGGAAGGGCTATAGCTGCCACCAGGAAGTCCTCTCCTTGGTAGCTTGGGGTGGCTTGCTGTCAGAGCGACCCTCCTCCGGCAGAGGAACCAGCCGTTGGGCCGATGGCATGTGCCTGGCTCATAACGGAGGAGGTCCGTTTGTGTATCGGAGCATGGGGTGGAATGAGCGGGCGAAGTTGTTGGACAGGGCGCAGCTGTAGTCGTCCTCGGACATCGGAACAAGGCAGGCGAGCCCGATGAGGAGCAACAGGAGCAGCTGGAGGGGAAG